TCCAGCAGGTTTCCTCCAAGTTTGATCTGGCCTTTAACTTGGCAGTCAAACTGCACACTCAAGCTTGAAAAACCTTCAATAAAGAACCCGACGCTATTGTGCTCCCCTTTCCCCTCCATAACCTACAGACCCTCTGGGCTGATTCCATAAGTTTTCAGACTATGATGTCAGGTTTCCCTGGCACCATTGGTAATCACCTTCCCCAAGACAAAAGAATTCAGGCCCTTCTCACATTGCTGCTCCTTCTTCTTTCCCAATTCCCCAAGCAACTATTGCCTTTTCGGATACTAATAAGAACTTTGTGTTCCTGATACATCATCCTGGGAAAAAGGACATCACCCACTTTGTCCCTAATCCTCGCTCTGTCCAGTTGGGAGAACTTCTTGCTATACTTAAGGCTTTAGCAGAGTGCCAGGACGAACCCCTAAATCTCTTCTGATAGCGCCTATGCTGTTCAAGTCACTAGGTCATCACCTTTTCTCATGTTAAAAACTCTTCCACCCCACTCCACCTCACTATGGTCTCTCACTGTCACTCCCTCTTTAACATCACAATAGGCGACTTTCGTGAGCCAGGGATCCTTATGCAGCCTCAAAATCTGGTCTCCCTCAGTAAAAGACACTTCTGAGACTACAGTGTCCTTCGTGCCCCGAGGCCACCCCCCTCCCCCCAAGGGTCAGGCATCCTCCATGGACCCGGTGCCCACCCACCCATAAACTTCCCATCACATTGCACTTTCCTATTCCATGGGAACACTGCCTCCCGCTCACTCCTGGAGGTACGCTCGTTTTTACAGATTATGATGGATGCCCACAGACTTCCTCCCTGGCAGTCTGAAGACACCTTGTCTCTACAAAACCTTACTCCTATGTCTACCTGACCCCAGGGGTAAAGACACTGTCAGGGCGGCCTGGGAGCTCTGCGGGGCAGCGGCTTGCCTGGATTTGCATCCTCTCTTCTTTGTGTTAGGTGGACCCATCTTTAATGGTACACATACGTGCAATAGCTCAGAGACGGGTTCCTCGGGTGTCACAGACCTGATTTGGACACCTAATGAAGTCTCTGTTAATGTCTCTTTTTCGTTCTCCTCGCCCGTTTGTGTTCGTCCTCCATTTGCTCTGCTTCTTGCTAATGTCATGGACGACCCGGAGGATACCCTTAACTGCTCCCTCACTAACTGCACTCTCTCGGCATGCTGGATTTTCCCCGCCTCTATTGTTCTCTTTGTGCACGAACCCGCAGCATTCTGGGTTCCCGTTCCTAATGCCACTCACTTCCATGTTATCACCTTCATGGAACAGACGGCTATCCAGCCCTTCCCCCGGGGCCAAGAGAGATTTTGGTATTACCATGGCAATCGTCACTGCCATTATCCTTTCCTCAGGGGCTGCCGCCACTGCGCTGTTGCTATCACCCAATCTTCCACAACTGTGGAAACACTCAATGAGGTCGTATCCAAAATTTCTGTGGCCTTACACACTCGCTCTCTTATTAATCAACACCTCTTCCAGGCCATTTCTTTCATCCAACAACAGGTAGACCTCCTTGGGGAAGAGATGGCGATCATCAAACAGATGACACTAATGGCCTGTGACCCATGGTTCAAAGCCCTGTGTCTCACACCTTACAAAGTACATAACCTCGCTAGGGCCAGGATGGAACTCTCACAGTACATCCATGGCCACTGGAGCCAAAAGTTTCTCAACTACTCCACCTTGCTCACAGACCAGATCATCTCCCTAAATTATACACGGGCTCAGACATTAGATATAAACTCTGGGTTCCTCAACAAACTGGTTGAACTTAAAAGCTTTGTTTGACCCTTCATGGATCTTTATTTGTTCTTGGGTATCATAGTCTTAATTCTTTTCTTGCTCATAAAATGCCTTGTTCTATGTTTCCACAGACAAAACCAAGTAAATTACTCAGTGTATCAGGTTCTCAAGACGCTCGAGGATCCAGACTTTGCACCCCCCCAGGTCCAGCAAATCTGGCTTGCTGACATCTGAGAAGCAGATGTGCAACTTCTTGCCCTCCTCCTCCCTCACATGGTCATGCCAGAGGTCACACCCTTCAAGGGCTGGTAGTCAATGACAGATAAGATCCTGATGGTCAGGACAGGCGTACTCCATCAAGCTAGGTGCCCTCTGAGGTGGGGTCAGCTATATCGAGACAAAGAACCTCGGTTCCCACTGACCTTTCTATAATAAAAAGGGCTGGATATGTAGGAGAGGAAGTTCCAGGCCTAAGCACAGGCTGCACTAGAGAACACAGCTTCCACCTTGAGAGTATAGCCCACACTTCTGCAAAAGAGCCAAACTAATCTGCCCCCCGGACCTAGAGACTGATGATGCAAGCAGTCTGGATGAGGGTATCTATCAGGGAGCAAACCAGCTTATGGGACACTGGGGGCAGGGGGAGAAATATATAAGGCCTGCCCTTTCCAGCAATAAACAAGTCTGGAGCACCTCACCTAGTGCCTACTTCCACCCGACTCCTGGTGTCTGTGTGTTGACTCCATGCTGCTCACCCCCACCTCGGCCAAGAACACTTGTTCCCTGTAGTCCCTCCTGGGCTGGACCCACGAGGAAACCTGCAACAGGTTGTTAGCCACCATGTGAGTGCTTGGAATTGAACCCAGGTCTTCTGTGAGAGCAGCCAGTGCTCTTAACCACTGAGCCATCTCTCCAGCCCCATGTACAAAGTTTTAATTTTATTCTTTGTTGTTGTTGTTGGTCTTTTTGAAACAGGGTCTCCCTGTAACCCCAGCTGTCCTGGAACTCACTATGTAAACCAGGCTGGCCTTGAACTCACAGAGATCCACCTGCTTCTGCCTCCCGAGTGCTGGGATCAAAACGTGCACCACACTGGCAATATATTTTATTCTAATCTTAATTACTGACATTAACTTTCAAAACATGCATTGCACATCATACAATCAGTGCTCTTAACTGCTAAGCCATCTCTCCAGCCCCAAATCTTACTTTGTATTTGAATGTTTAGAAATGCAAATAGGACTCTAGAAGGAGCCACTGCAGTGTTGCCCATTTTCTTTCTATTAGCAAAATACAAATACTATTTAACTGATATTTTAATAGGTAAAGTTTTTTGTGTTGGTTATAAGAATTTGAATTTTAAATGTAGGTACTCAAAAATGAAGTTTCTCTTAGAAGACTTAACATAAGTTTTTTTTAATTTAAAAATTAGATTTCTTTTATCCAAATTATACAGAATAATGAGAAAAAAATTAGACAGTGAAAATACTTGAATCTTCTAAACATTAAATCTATATTAAGTAAGTTGATGTTTTGAGTGAGCAGCCAGGACAAAAACAGGAATAACAACATACCAGCATCTTCATCTATAACATCATTAAGGCCAAGATTAGCATTGTTTTATCCCTGAGCAATGTGTGAAATTTTACCATGAACAATTTTTTTTTGGTCTTTTTGAGACAGGGTCTCCCTGTAGCCCCAGCTGGACTTGAACTCACTGTGTAGACCAGGCTGGCCTTGAACTCACAGAGATCCGCCTGCCTCTGCCTTGGGATTAAAGGTGTGCACCACCACACCCAGCCTACCATGAACAATTTTTTAAAATTTTATAAAAGGGGGCTGGAGAGATGGCTCAGCAGCTAAGAACACTGGTTCTTGCAGAAGACCCAGGTTCAAATCCCAGCACCCATGTGGCAGCTAACAACTGGCTGTAACTCCAGTCCCAGGGGATCCAACAGCCTCTTCTGACCTCTAAGGGCATTGCACAACATGGGTGCACTTGCAGGCAATACATGCATACACATAAAATAAAAATAATAATTTTTTTAAAGTTTAAAAAAAATTTTATAAAAGGGTTTAAGAAATGTAAAAAATGAGCACCTCTGTTACTTGGGGTGCTCAGTTGTCAGTATAGTGGAAGATGTATGCATGCAGATTTTGAAGTCTACATGGTTATGTTCACAGATGAAGTAGGCACATGGGAATCTGAAAGTTCATCTCCTTGAGTTTTGTAGGACAGGAGGAGGTCAGAGTGCCTGGATACAGGTTTTTGCCCCAGGCAAAACTGAGTCTCTGATATGATGTTCTTTCTTTCTTCTTTTTCTTTTTTTTCCTCTATCAGTTGATGAAATCATCTGCTTTTCTTTACCCTTCAAGGAAGACTCCATAACTAATTCTGAGTTTTTAGTTTTCATATTTGAAAATTCTTGTTTTTTTTAAAGCCATTTTTTGTAAATGTTACTAAGAATAAATTAGTACTTAAGAAAACCTTACTGTTGGGACTGGAGAGATGGCTCAGTGGTGAAAAGCATTTGCTGCTCTTGCAGAGGACCAGAGTTCAGTTCCCAGCACCCAGGTTAGGCTTCTGACAACCTCCTGTAACTCCAGCTCCATCTGATGCCTCTGACCTCCACAGGCCCCTGAACTCGTGTGCACAGACCCACACATGGACACTCACATATACATGTAATTAAAAATAAAATCTTTGAATATTTTTATTTTTGTTGTATCATGTATATGAGTGTATTGCTCTGCACCTGTGTCATGCAGAGCCCTCGGTGGTCAGAAGAGTGCGCCAGATCTCCTAGACGTGCAGTTCCAGAGGGCTGTCAGCCGCCATTTGGTGCTGGGAACTAACCCTGGGTCCTCTGCAAGAGTAGCCAGTGCTCTTAACCATGGAGTCATCTCTCCAGCCTCCAAAATAAAATCTTTAAATAAAAAGAAAATATTATTGTTGTTAACAGAGAAGTAAGCATTAACTTTATCTCAGGGTACTAAATTTTGACTTTAAAAATTTTAATGACCTTTATGTTATAATCAACATAGTTATGATCATATCTACTTAAAGTTTACTTTTCACAACCCTTCTACATCATACTTTACTCTTGTTAACATTCTCGTACATTTCCATTTTGAAACAATCTTTATCTTGCCATGCAAAATCCTTTCTTGCCCCAAAACATATTTTACCTTCTTTTACCAAAAATCTCTCATACCTTTAACCTTTATATCTTCTTTTTTAACTTGTAATTTTGCATTTATCATCATTAGTATAAAATTTAGAAAAAAAGCAATATGATTTTTAAATGAGGCTGTATCTAAAACATAGAAAATATATATGTTTAAGATATTTAAGGAATTTAGATCTCTAACAGTAAATACCAAACAGTTATAAATACAGGTGAAACACATTAATAGTCATGTGTTTTCTTAATTAATTTAAATAAATTATTAGTTAAAGATTTAAGTCGGTATAACAGGCACTTTGAAGTTGTTTCGCTTTTTTAAAAAGACCTTGGCTTTTCATGAGTTCTGACAAGGGACCCAAAGCAGGATAAAGCTGGGCGGTTTGCACTTCGTTCCCTTTGAGTCGCCTCCTCACTTTCATAGCAAATGTGTTCATCATTTAACGAGATTTTGCCCAAACTACTTTCTTTCTTTAAAACTAAAAGCACAGAGATTAATAATTGTACCAATTATACTATTATGATGTAACACATTAAATGTATCTGTAAACTTTAAGATGTCTTTGTAAGCCTCAAAGCAGATTCTTTATCACTTTCCCCCAAAAGCTTAGAGTTGTATCTTACTTGGGCTTGGCTAAGATATGGACCTTGAAAAATCTGCTTGTTTATTTTCAAAGAAGTAGTAGTGCTCAAAACATCTTTACAATCCTTGAAAAGTTTTTATTTCTATACACACAAAAACACATAAAACATATCTAAAAACAGAGACAAACCATTCTCTTAATCCTTAGAATACAAGAATTTAGCATCTCAGAGGGGCAGTTATCTGACAAGAAATACACCCTGGATCAGGAGTAACAGCTCTTCAAATTAATTTATACCTTCAAGCAATGAATTAAGACAAGGACCAAGGAGATAACATCTTGACCAAAACTGTATAATTATGTACATCTTGTCTTCTTTTTTTTTTTTTTTTTTTTTTTTTTTTTTTGGTCTTTTTGAGACAGGGTCTCCCTGTAGCCCCAGCTGGCCTGGAACTCACGATGTAGACCAGGCTGGCCTTGAACTCAGAGAGATCCACCTGCCTCTGCCTCCCAAGTGCTGGGACTGCAGGCGTGCACCACTATGCCCAGTGCATCTTGTCTTCTTAAAAAGATATTTTATTTGAATTGAAAAACTCATGTTACTTTTCCCAAAGGAGGATCTGGGTCCAGTGGCCAGCTCTACTTGTTTCCAAAGTGACCACATCGATTTCATATCTTCCCTGCCCTTATTTTGCTCCTCCAATTTGACACTGGACATTGAGCAAGCTTACTTAGCTTATTGAGGTACTTGGAGTTGGATTTTTTTTGGGGGGGGGTCTTTTTGAGACAGGGTCTCCCTGTAGCCCCAGCTAGCCTTGAACTCGCAGAGGTCCACCAGCCTCTGCCTCCCAAGTGCTGGGATTAAAGGCGTGCACCACCATGCCTGACTGAAACTTTTTCCTTAAAAATTTTAGTTTCACTGTGAGCCAAAAGGAAGCTGAGCCAATTTAACAAATTTGATTTACATAAGCGCTCACAAGCCAATCTGCTCCTGAGTAAATGACGTAAGAAGAAAAACGTAAACACATGTAGACAGTGCAGACATGTATAATTAGGCATAAAAATGGGTTTTTAAAACCAAGATTTTGCATGTTACTGTTTCTTGGGATTACATCTCCTATAACCCTCTCTGTGAAAAGGAAACTCCCTACAAAGATTTTTAGCAAACATATATATCCATTTTACATGTAGTCCATCCTTAATAAAAACTTTACATTTAAGTTTCATGTTGAGAATATTTAGAAAAAGAAATCATGTGATTTTTATGTTACCCATGATGATTATATAAATGAAATATATATATGTGTGTGTATATGTATATTTATAACCTGTTTGAGAAGAAAATCCTTCACAAAATATATGTATATGGGGGCTGGAGAGATAGCTCAGCAGTTAAGAGCACTGGCTGTTCTTGCAGAAGACCCGGGTTCAAATCCCAGCACAGTACACACATGGCAGTTAACAACTGTAACTCCAATTCCAGACGATCCAACGACCTCTTCTGTCCTCCATGGGCATTGCATGACAGGGGTGCACTTATATGCATGCAGGCAATACATACACATAAAATAAAAATAATAAAATATTTTTTAAAAATCTATGTATATAACATTAAATTTTATTGCTTAATGAAATCTTTTATGATTCTGATTGTTGTTTTATATAAACAATCAGTATTTTAAGGTTTTATGAAACACCTAATAGACCCAAAGATATCATTTGAATAGGTTTGAAGATGTTCAAAGCACCCAAGTTCATAAAGCAGGTCTTTCATACATCAGGCCTTTAATATATCACCAAAATACTCACATTTATAAGTCTGCACTTGTGCATTTTAGTTGGGCGTGCCAAAAAGGTAAAAATAATTATTTTAGCACACAATAAAAATGAATTTTAAAAAACTGAAGTGACCACATTTTGCTAAAAAGTTTTTTGATCCAAACAACATGAAAACAACTATCACAGACATACATGACACAATTGCATTAAATCTCGGTGCACCCAAGTTTTAAAAACATAGGAAGCTCACATCCCTATCTCTTTAAGATCTGAAAAAGACTTAGTACCATAGAAGATCAAATGGTGAAGTTTTTCAAGTAGACTTAAGGTAACATCTCTCTTTAAGAACTAAATAGCTGGGCAGGGAGATGCCTTTACTGAGAAAAATGTTTTTCTCAGTGTTTGTTCTCTTTTCATTTATTGTGGGGCTAAACTATATTTTCCATGCTTGCTTTTGTATCTAGAGGAAAGAAATAAAGATTCTCAGATCAGACATCACCCACGGCCTAGCATCATCAAGGGATACAATTCCTTTCCTAGGCTTGGCAGTACTGGCTGGTTTCTTACCTTGGATTAGGCAACACAGGTCTGTCCCATAAGACATTTACCCATCACCAGCGCTCAGGTACTTTTCCTTGAAGGTTTTCCTTAGAGGCCCGTAGATCAGACATGATTCTGTCCTGTGTAAAGTTTAAAGACAGAGATATACACAATAGGTGAGTTGTGTTTCTTTGTTTCTAGACTCTCATAAAGTGAGAACAGATGGAGTTTAAACTTGGGTATTTTAACCAAGAAGTTCTAGAAGTCAGTCTCTTCAGAACACCATGGGGAAGGAAGCAGGTAGAGCTCCCCCTTTCTAAGCTCTTGACTTCACAGAATGCAGAGGAGACAGGACAGCAAAGAAGTAGGGTGTGGTGGTAAAACTTCAGGTTGGGGCTGGAGAAGATCCTCAGCAGGTAAGAGCACTGGCTGCTCTTGCAGAGGACCTTGGTTCCATTCCCATGATGGCTAATAACTGTCCATAAGTCCAGTTCTAAGAGATCTGATCCCTTCTAGCCTCCATGGGTACTGCACACACATGGTACAATTACACACATACAGGCAAAACACTCATACACAAAGAACTTAATTTATTCTATTTTTTGGATTTATTTTTATTTTATGTGTATGAGTATATTGCCTGCATGTATGTAAGTGCACCTGTATCATGCAATACCCAAAGAGGACAGAAGAGGGTGTTGGGTCCCCTGGAACTGGAGTTATGGATGGTTGTGAGCTGCCATGTGGGTGCTAGGAACAGAACCCATCCCCTGCAAGAGTAGCCAGTGCTCTTAACTGCTGAGCCATCTCTCCAGCCCCCTACAAATGGGATTATTTTGTGTGTCTCTTTGAGACAGGGTCTCCCAGTAGCCCCAGCTGGGCTGGAACTCGCTATGTAGACCAGGCTGGCTTCAAACTCACAAAGATCTGCTGGGACTAAAGGTGTGCGCCACCACACCTGGCTCAAATGGGAATTTTAATATAGCATAAAATTTTTTTCTTCCGGCCAGGCCCATATGGTGGCACAAACCTTTTATCCCAGTACTTGGGAGGCAGAGGCAAGTGGATCTCTGAGTTCAAGGCCAGCCTAGTCTACATAGTGAGTTCCAGGCCAGCTGGGGCTACAGGGAGACCTTGTCTCAAAAAAAAAAAAAAAAATCTTTTTCTTCTTAGCTTTTATGTTAAAATAGGCCATAATATTCTATAATAATCTATTGCCATATAAAATTTTGCTGTTAGGAGATGAAGAAAGAGATGCAAGTGTGGGTGGTTGTCAGAATTTATCTTTAGTTCTCATAGACCCTCTGAAATTTTTTTTAGAGGGGTGGGTCTTTTTGAGACAAAGTCTCCCTATAGCACCAGCTGGCCTGGAACTCACTATGTAGGCCAAGCTGGCCTCAAACTCACAGAGATCTGCCTGCCTCTGCCTCCCAAGTGCTGGGATCAAAAGTGTGTGCCACCACACCCACCTGCCTAGCCTCTAAAATTTTTAAGTTAACTTCTTACTCATTTTCAAATTTTTAGAGCTCTTAATTGTTGTAAATTACCAAGTTTATCATTTCTTTTTCAGATGCTTTTATATTCCAATTAAAACAGGCTGCTCATTTATGATTTTATTTTATTGCTAAAGGTCTTTAGTTAAGTATACAAAATAAAACAGCTTAGAGGCAGTAAATGCTTCCTGTTGAGGGGAAACTTACCTTTGTTAGATTTGTCCTTTCTTTAAACTTTGCAGGTTGAATTAACACACTAATCAAATCTAAAACCAGCTGGAGTATGAAATACGTTTTGTTTTCTCCAAACATTTCTCCATTAGATTAGGTAGGGGAGAAGTGGGGAGGGGAGACCACTAGCGAGTTTAACAAACTGTCAGATTCCAAAATGCCTTCAGAGGTCTGAAAGCAACAAAAAATAAACCAAATGTCGAAATCGAAATGCTTTCAAAGCAAATAAAATCGCTATCTTAAACCAAACACTTAGAAAGCAAACCGAAACCAGAAAGGTACCTACCAAATAGAATCCTTAAACAACCAGTTCAGAATAAACAAATGGTCTCTTGACCAAAGGTCTGAAAGAGCCCCAGATCAAATACAAGTGATCATGGCCCAGGAACACAGCCTTAGGTCACCCCAAATTCCATGTTCCAACATGGAAGCAGTTTCATGAAGTTTTACAGCAACAACATATCAAGAAACACATTGGTGGAAACATTAAGTAGGTGGTTACAGCAAAGCCTCTCAGCTCTGGACCCCAGATGCATCCGAGGTTGGTGGAAACTAGGGTTTTGTTAATACAACCCAAATGATTTGGATCTGTTAGTCACAGGGATGTTAGGTCAGACACAGAGGAAGTCACAGAATGGCTATTTAGGGGGCTAAAGATAGCCCAAGATGATTTTTAATTAGGTTGTGGACCTGCAAGATTCTGAACTCTCCACAATCATTGAAGTTTGAATCAGTTGCTCAGCCTTGCAGAAGGTTCAGTTTGAAGATGCAGGGTTTTTTCTGGGAACTTTCATATCCATTTGTGGAGATCTATATATATTTCAGTCCATATTGAAATGAATATTTGCTGAATTCATGAGGGAAGGAAGGGACAGGACCAACCAGCAAGTTCTTCATGTATTCTAGCATTCAAGAAATGGAGGACGGAAGATCAGTTCAAGGTCACCCTGGGTGACAGAATAAGCTTGAAGCCAGCCTGGGCTACATGAAACACTGTCTCCGACAAAAAACTAAAGTAAAAATGGCCTGCCAGTAGATGTTCTATAAATTGGAACAGTGATCACGAATTTCTTCATTAACTTCTAAATGCTAAATAGGTCTCAGTAAACACTGGGGAATAAATCCCAAGACATTCCCAAGTGGTGGTTGTTTTTATTTGCTTTATCTTCAGAGCCTCCTGTGCTAAGTGTTTATTGAGTCACCTGAACAGGTACCAGCTCTGGATCATGTGTTCCAGGAGGGAGACCCTGTAACTGAGTCACGCCAGAGTCCATGGGCCTGGTTCTGTCCTCTCTCCATCAGATACCCAAAAATACTGGGGGGAGGCTGAGCAGAGTGGCCCTGCTTTACCTGGCCTTTCCCTCTCCCCCCTTCCCCTCCTCCTCCCCTCCCCTTTTCTTCCCTTCTCTTCTCCCCCTTTCCAGTACCTCCTCTTCTCTCACTTCCCCCACCACAAGTTTATGCAAATCTTGATCCACTTGTTGAAAAGCAACATTGGCACAGGGTTCCTGGGGCTTCCCTTGGCTGTGAAAAATGCTGGCTTGTTGGGAAGAGGCACCTTGTCATCCAAGTTGGGGGTGGGGGGGGTAATAAGTCCCTGGGCCCTCTAGGTTGCTGATGATGGGTGAGTCTGGGGACTGGGCTGTACAATAGGAAACGTGCCCTTCAATTACCTGGAACCAACCTGAAGGCACGTTGACCACCCCAGCCACTATTCACAGAACCCCACTGCACATGCAGCCTCTCCTTCCACACCGGCCTCCCCAGTCCCAGGACTCTTACACCCACAGCCTTGTCCTTGTGTAAATGTGTGACCAGTTTCACACCATCTGATGGGACACCCAGTGGTACTGAAGGCTGAGGCAGGAGGAGTTCCGGTTTGAGGCCAGTGAGTTACAGGTCAGCCTGGACGCCATCGCAAAACCTATCTAAAAAAAGAAAAGCCACAGGGCCGAGGATGCGTGAAATGCGTGAAGCCCTGGGTTCAGTCCCAGACACTGAAAACCAAAAATAAGAATGAAACCATCTGACTCCGCATGAGATGGGGCGGGACTGTGGCTACGGATGCCCTCCCATTGTCGTGCCCAACGGACGGACCCCCAAATACCACCACGGAGTCCAGAGGACATGCAAAAGCAAAGAGTCTCTATTCAGACTTAAGCTCCGACTCTCACCTCACCATCGCAGTGGATCTGAGAGCCCCGAGCAAGGGGGCAAAGAGCTTCTCATAGGCTTTAGAAAAAGGGAGGAGGGCACTAACAGAGTCACATCTTGATTGGTCCACGGAGGCCACGCTTGCCAACATACTTCAAATTGATTGGGGGGGGGGTGCAGTCTTGGGGGGTCCTATTGGTGGGTGCTGTCTTCGGGGCTGTGGAATGTGCTGACTGCTATCCTTGGGGCCAGAGGATCTTGTTTATTCCTGTAAGGTCTTAACACGTCTGGGCTCTTGTGACATGCGGGGGCTTGCCTTATCTACTTACAAAATGGAGAAGTCAGCCACAATGGAGTCAGTGCAGTTTGTCCCTTTAGTTCCTTTGAGCCAAGCAAATTCAGAAGCAAAAAGAGCAATTAGTCCTAAAAGGGCAGGGGTCTAGGGGCACAGGGGAGGGGGCCAAGGAGGAGGGCTCCACACCACCCCTATGTCCCCTGCACCCCTCTGTCTCCTGGCCATGCCTCCTCTCCAAAACTGTGCTGTGCCCTACAAACACCTAGAAGTAATGTGAAGGCTGCACCTTGTAATGTCCTATCTGGAGTCCTTAAAGCGCTTACAAAGGTCAGGCATATCCGCTCTGACTCTGAGGTAAAAATCCGTTGACTCCCCTTCCTCCTCCCAGAAGCCCCTGCTCTAGAGGCCTGCGCACAGAAAGCCCGTGGTGCGCTGGTAGTGATGCCACGTATAGACTCTCCCTTTAGTGAGTTTGTCTCCACTGGGCCTGGTAAGCGGCCCCGGTGTGAAGGAGTTGCACAGAAAGCCCGTGGTGCGCTGGTAGTGATGCCACGTATAGACTCTCTTAGTGAGTTTGTCTCCACTGGGCCTGGTAAGCGGCCCCGGTGTGAAGGAGTCACAGCGAGACCCTTGCTTCCGCCAACCTGACTTCCAACAGGTAATGGGTCCAATCAGAAGCCAGGACCCTCCCCTTCAGAGCCCTCTGGGCTCTAGATTGACGTCTGCAGAAGGGTGTCCAGGACCACATGGCACAGCACTCTGCCAACTGATCTACAGCCCAAGCCCCTTCTTTCCCTTTTCCCCTGCCCACTTCAATACAGACACCTTGTCAGGGTCATTTGTTTCAGGAAAACACTTTTAGGACAAATTAATAAGTGAAAAATCCAGTTGGCAATGACATGAGTAATTTGCATTGACTGCAGTCATTAAAAAACTCACCTAGTGGGGCGCAGAGATGACTCAGCTGTTAAGAGCACACACTGCTCTTGTGGGACCTTGTTAGGTTACCAGCACCCACATCAGGCAACCGCCTGTAACTCCAGCTCCAGGGGTTCTTACACCCTCCTCTGGCCTCCGAGGGCACCTGCACTCACATGCACATACCGACACACAGACGCATACACATAGTTTTTAAAATAGCCAGGTGTGGTGGCACATGCCTTTAATCTTAGTACTTGGGAGGCAGAGGCAGGTGGACCTCCCAGATCTAGGGGCCAGCCTGGTCTATTCATAGCTAGTTCTAAGTCAGCTGGGACTATAGGGAGAGCCTGCCTCAAAAAAAAAAAGTAACAGTGAATAATAAAAGTGCATCTAACATTCAAAGTGTGTCCATCTGAAACTTTAGTGTAAAAACAATCTCAGAAAAAAAAGAAAAAAGACAAACACAATGAAGCTCTACGGATGCTTTATGAAGTGAGGACAGGCCTTAAACAGAAGTCAAAGTGGGTCACTTGGAGGCTGATGCAGGAATCATCCATCCCAGGCCAGCCTGGGTTTATATCATCAGACTCAAAAAAATGATTGTTTTAAATCAAGGATATTCAGTAAAACTGCATGGGCTGGGGATGTAGCTCAGTGGTAGATCACTTGCCTAGCATGTGCAAGGCTGTAAGTACAATTCCCGATACTTCAAAATGAGTTTAAAAAAAAAAAACCCAAAGCCAAATGAGCAGAGCCCAAATAGTACTTGTATCTGGAGTGTGCGTGTTGGACACACTCAACTAACTCACAGAGCCTTTACTGCTCACAAGACACATTGGTGCTTTGTTCATTCAGTTCTGTGCAATTTCGACGTGGGCTTTACCAGCCTTCTGTAGCCATTCCAGAAGCCCTCTGGGCTGGGCTCTTACAAACGGGTGCACAGCAGCTTAAACGCCTTGCCCAGGTCACCAGGTTTGGAGGTGGCAGAGCTGGTCTTTGAAGACCTGTCTGGCTCTATTACCTGCAAACCCCAAACCCTCAGGGGTCCTCCTGCCTCCTGCAGGCACCACTAGTGACAGTCAGGTTGGCTCTGTCCTCTGCCTGATGACATCTGTCATTTTCCTCTAACACACAGGTTTTAGGACAGTGGCCTCTTAGCTCATTAGGGCCTTCTACAGGTAGTGTTTTAGTTTTTATCTGAGCCAGTGTTTAAAACCCTAGAGACTTCGCAGTGGAGACAAAAATAAAAGCCCCTCTGCCTTCTTGACAAGAAGACAGTCAGCCACCTTAGTACTTTCCTGCTTTCCTGTGTTTCTGAGCCCAGTTCCAGCTGGACCCCATTAACTCTGGGTGTTTCTGGTTTTGCCACTGTCCCCACTACTCCCTAATCTAATACACAGCTCTGTCACTGACCAGACAGAAATATCGAGCTGGTCCCAGGGCTTTAGAATGTGCAGCCCTGAGATTCACGTATTTGCTAGTGTTGTCCCACAGACCCCAATCAGCAAGCAGCAGTAAACACAAGAAGTCAACCTGCACCACCACCCCCATATCCAACACCTTCCTCCTCCCTCCTCGGCGCCTCTACCAAACCTAGACAGTTTGTGCAAAGAGTGGGGCTGGGCTGGGGTGTGGCTCAGTTGGTAGAGCGCCTGCCTAACATGCACAGAGCCCCAAGTTAGATCCCCAGCACTGTGTAAACTGGATGTGGTACTGCACACCTGCAATCCCAAGACTTGATAGATGGAAGCAGAAGGATCAGGAGTTGGAGAAGCAAAGTATGTTGGAGCACAGCCTGGGCTACATAAAACTTAAAAAAAAAAAGCCTGAGATCTTATAATAGCATTACAATAAAGTGATTTCATCTAATTAAAAAAAATATTTTATTATTAAGCTGGAGAGATGGCTCAGCAGTTAAGAGCACTGGCTGCTCTTGCAGAGGACTGGGTTTAATTCCCAGCCCACATAGCAGCTAACAACCATCTATAACTCCAGTTCCAGGGGATCTGATGCCCTGTCCTTTTCTCCATGGGCATAGCACAACATGGGTACATCTACCTACATGCAGGCAATACACTCATACACATAAAATAATAAGCATAAAAAGCAAACTCCTAAAAGTTGTAGAAAGGTTTGACGGCTAATCCTGGGTGTCAACCTGATTGGATCTGGGATCAACTGAAATGAAAGAGATCTTCTTGACTGGATCATCTAAAGCTGGAAGACACACCCTAAATGTGGGCATTACCTTCTGATGGCAGCCAGTATAAAAGACCTAGGCAGAGGAGAACGCCTGGCTTCTTGCTGCTTGCCTTCTCTCTCACTGGTGAGTTCATCTTGCTGCTGTAGACTGAAGACTAGCTGATCTTTTGGAATTTGTCAGACCTTCAGCACCAGATTGGGACTACTGAGACATCCAGCCTCATGGACTGAGCGACTACGGATTCTCAGCCTCTCCAGTGTGGTGCAGCCAGCGTTAGACTACTCGGGCTCTATCCTGTGAGCTAAGCTGATAAATTTATATATATTCATTCTACAGATTCTGTTTCTTTCGAGAACCCTGACTAATACAAAAGGGTTACTAGCATTAGAAAATTATTGGAAAATTCTGTGCCAACACACAAATATGCAATAGTTACTTTATTTGGGAGTATATTGTTCCTTTATCAAAAGAGTTTTTAAGCTACACATTGTCCTTTCCTCCTAGACTACAGAAGACTTTCATGAACTATGAAGAGGCCACAATGTATAGCTTGGGGACATGCCCGAACCCCTGGCTGAAGTCGCACTCAGCATGGGGCAGGTAGTAGTCACAGACGTGGAGGCACCATGACAAGAGCGGCCACGAGAGCCAGGGGTACACCTTATGTGTGTGTCTGTGTGAGGGTATGTATGTGTGAGCACAGGTGCCCACAGAGGCCAGAAGAGGGAGCAGGATCCCACAGAGCTCGAACTACAGGCAGCTGTGGGCTGCCTGATGTGGGTGCTGGGGACCGAGCCCAGGTCCTCTGCAAGAGGTGTACATGCTCATCACTCCTGAGCCATCTCTCCAGCCCCTGCTCACACAAGTTTTAAATGAATATGCTCCTTTTAAAAACCATCAAGCAAGATAAAGACTCTTAAAACAAAAAACCCCTTATCTTTCTTTACCCTAGTTAATAAACAGTTCTTTCTATATTTTCTTTTTCTGTGTGTACATCAGTGTGTGCGAAAGGGCGTGTATCATTTCCTTTTATGAGAGAGGGAGAGAGATTCTTGTGTAGCCAGAGCTGCCTTGAACCAGCTACGCGTAGCCAAGGATGACCTTGAACTCCTGGTGTCCAGCCCACCAGTGCAGAGAGCTTCCTGCATAGTGGGCAGGCACTCCATCAACTGAGCTACAGCCCCAGTTCTAATTCACTTTATATTTTCTTATACATTACTTAAATTTTAAGTAAAATTATGCAAATTTGGAATGTGTGTTTGAGGCAGGGCCTCCTGTGAATTAGTCTGGCCACAAGCCTGCTTTGTAGCTCTAGGATGACCTTGAACTCCTCATGCTCCTGCTTCTACCTCCCGAGTGCTGGGATTACAAGCACCCACCACCACAACTAGCTTGAAATTTGCTTTTTTAATCTAACAGCATGTTAATACATGTCCCATTGCTATGACAGACTACCAAGGAAAGCAACTTTCAAAAGGGTTTATTTCCACTCGTAGTTCAAGGGTATAGTCCATCATGGAGGGAAGTCACGGCAGCAGGTGAGTGAGGCAGCTGGTTGTCTGCAGTGAGGACACAGAGAGATCAGTGCTAGCATTCAGCCTGCTTCCTCCATTTTATTCAGCCCATGGGATGCACTCCCCACAGTCAAGGTGGGTCTTCCCTGCCCAGTCAGCCTACTCTAGAAAACCCCTCACAGACTTGGACAGAGGTTTCCCCCTGGTGATTCTAAATCCTGTCGCCTTCATGGAAATTAACCACCGCCAACAGAATTCCTCTTTTTCCCCACCCTGGGACACACAGACCCATCTCATTATGTCAAGGCTCACTCACAGTGGAGGTGTTTACACCTGTTTCTTTTCTCATTATCCTTATAGTGGACATTTAGCTTGTTCCTTGTTTGGTAAGTTAATGGGGGTCTGGATAGATGGCTCAGTGGTTAAGAGCACTGGCTACTTTTTTTAAAATAATTTTTTGAGAATTTCGTACATGCACATAAGGTGTTTTGATCAAATCCATGCCCACTCCCTCCCTTCCAACTGCCCCCATAATGCCCCACCACTTTTTTCTGATAACTTCATGTAGTCTTTCTTCTTCTTTGATTTATTTATTTATTTTTATGGGGCTTTTAGCTGCTCGAACATTCCCCCCTCTGAAGAGGTAACCCTAAATTCTTTTAGGGATTAGATAAGAGCTCCCAAATACTTTTGACATTTTTGGCCTTTGGAGCAGAGTATGTTGCTAAGAGGCCCAAGGACATTTTGACTTTTAGCTAAGAAACTGGCTACATTTCTTTGGGGTCTTTTTACCCTAACTGCCTAGCAAATTCCTACCTCCTATTCTTATCACACCATCCTCTGAAGGGGTTACCCGTTCTTAAAAAATCACCAACACCACTTTAAGAAAAGTAGCAAGGTAAATTTTAATTTTCACCCATCCGGGCTGTCTATCTCGGGAGTAGAAGCAGCCCTGGTGATTGTCAGGTCAGGTTTTTATGATTACAGAATTATTATTAAAACAGGACACTTATGAACCAATCAGGTTTGTACAACATAGCAGAATTTTGACTCTATTAATCAACAACCAGTCATTATTCAGGC